ACACTGGGCAGGGAGTGTGTGGCGATATCAAGCAGGCTGGTTTTTATTTGTAAAAAACAATGGGACATGTCATGTATATTTTTGATATCGAAATATTTTCACAGTTAATAAATTTATATTTTTTTATTATGTTGGGAGTTTCTAATTAAATATATTATCATAATCATTACAACTCCCACACATTCAAATCGAACGCTCCCTTCTCTCAAAAACTGAATTGACGCTTTTAGCACATCCTTGAAGCCTTTGCCAAAAACTAATCAGCACGCCCCCCCGAATGTTTTTGAATTATTCAAATCAGTTGATTGCTGTTCGCGAAATCGTCAACGGAAGTTTCTATCCGCACATATATACATACATACACAAATATAGACATAAATCAATTTTAAGGTATGCCAAAACGTTCAGAAACTTTTGAAACGAGAAGATATATAACATTTTCATTTTTGACTTTTTTGCGATTAATACGAGGGTCATTCAACAAGTACTTAGCTTTCAAATAAAAAACATTGCCACAGGGAAGTTGCAATTCATTTTTAAACATAATCTCTTTTAAGCTCGATACATTTGGACTTGCAATGTGTTCCAACTTAGTCAACCCGTCCAAAAATACATTTTCTCAAAGGCTACAAATAGGCCAAAAAGTTGTGGTGAGGCTAAGTACTTGTTGAATGACCCTCGTATAAGTTACCATACGGAAACTTAATAATTTATTGAACTAATATTTTAACTAAATTTTAATTCAATTTATTAGTTTTTTGTAAAATATTTTAATTACCTTGTTTTGAGTGATCTTTTCGGTCATATTTTTAAGACTTCGATAAGAATAATTAATTAAAAAAGAGAATTTTCATATTCATTTTTTACAAAACATATTCTTTCGCAATTTCTAGATTGTTGCACTAATTTATTATATAAATTTATTATTAGAAATTTAGTTTCAAAAGGAAAATGTATGAAAACGGATATATGTACGAACATACGCAATTGGGCGTTATAAGTTGAAAAGTTTGTGACAACATGCTAGAAATCCAAATAAATGATACGAAAAATGTTAAATAATATGTGAGTTATCTCAAAAGTTTAATCCTTAGATAAAATTAATTTTATATTAAAAACAACAAAGTACTCATTTTATATAAAATAAAAATGTAACAAAATTTACAATTATTTTAAATTACAGATATTAAATTTTTATTAATCATTATTTATTATTAATTATGTAATTTTAAACAAAATTTGAGTAAACTGTTTATCCCCGACCCCCGTTCTTGGCATAACTTTACACGTGTACACGTGTAAGTCGATAATACCGAATTAGACGTTCGTATTAACGGTGCCGATAATCTGAAGATTATGTCTAGATAATTAGCATTATCTTTACGCAATAATTATAATTTATAGTACGTTCAGAGTTATTTATTGTTGTAAATGTTCGGAAACGCTGCGCACTTGGCACATATATCCTGGTACATCTCTGCGAATCAAGAATAACACAGAGCTCATTTCAGCAGGCAATTACTGGAACGCCGTTTCATGTAATGTGAAAATGTTCATTGTATTGCAAATAGCAAAAATTAGCATATCATTAATTATATTTAATTAATTAAAGTAGGTCGTAGCTAAGCTCGTAATAATTACGCTCAAGTGAGAATATTTAATTCTACGCTGAGTTGAGAACTTTCTTAATTGGTATTCAATAATCATTAGATAAATTTAATCTTCAAGTTACTAACGATGACATCAACTAAAGATATGATAAATCTTTCATTGGATGCACTGAATATAAAACATTTTGTTCTATATATTTACAAGTTCTACTATTTATTATATAACGAAACTTTAGAATGGGTGCAGATTTTATTCTTAAATTGATATGCTCTTTAAAGCTAAATGAGTGATCAATGATTTTTAAAGAAAGAAGTAGTTGTTTAAGTCGAATTCAAAAAATAGATAGAAAAGAAATTTGTAAAAAACCATCTAGATAATTACTTGCATAATACTATTTATGAATAACGCGGAAATTATATCTCCTGATATATAGTAGATATACTTACTTATTTTTGTAAATTCGTTTTAGTTAGAAATATTTGTGAAAATTGTTTTGTATAAAATTTTGATATATATTTTACCTGTTATTTATATAATAGAAATTTGCATTCCGTGCTTCTTCTTAAGTTTATAAAAGTGTGTGTGATTTGACAATAGGTACTCTCAATAATCGTGAATTTAAAAATATGATCAAATTACACCGTAATATTTAACATTATGGTGTAATTATACATTTGTAAAATTGATAAAAACCTATATTTTCATAAAAGTGATAAAATTTGATAAAAGCATTCATTAAATTTTAAACGGTATGCGCTTCGTTCTAAAATGAAGCTTCTATCTTGAAAGGTCCATATTTTATGCAAGACTTTTGAAAATACTTTTGTGGTAGTTAACTTTACTTATTATGATGGAAAAATATTTTTACATAATTCAGATGTAATGATTTTCAGTTGAATCATATATATTTATATAAAATAAAACGCTTAAAATTTAATTTAATTTTCAAAGTATTTTTCTTCCGAATTGATTCATAACAATTCACTCAATGTTTGGCTTAAGTGAATTTGATTTTGTCACTTTTTGTAATAATTAAAGACACATTATGTTACCAAAACATGTTTAGAAAATTAATGGGTCGTCTATATATAGAAAAAATATGATTTAGTAGATAATAATTCAATGTAAGTATTACGTAAAATTCCATTTCAGAAGAATAAATCTTTATCAAGTTACTCCAATGCAAAGAGTGTAGTAGCAGAGTTAGGCAATGTAAAATTTTAATTAATGAATTAAATTAAAGTATTTCGTTTGTTAAAAGTTTAAAATGCTTTCATAATTAGATAATTATGATTTTATTGTCATAAAATCGGACCTGTATGTTCGATCAGCCTTACATTTGTTCTTTTTCACGTTTTTTTTTTGGTATTACATATTACTTAAAATGCATTTAAGTTATTTTAGAACACTCTTAAATTATACACCTTTATTCATGATAAAATAGAGCAATGTAAAAAAATAAAAAAAAGGTTCTTCAAATATGTTACGAATTTAATATATCATTTATTGCAGAAATTTGAATAAGAATATTTTAGTATAGGAGTATTTCGATTTAGTATAATTTAATATATAATATATTATATATATATATATTTATATATATATATATATTATATATATTATAATTAAGTGTTAAAATCCAATTTTCACGTAAAACAAATTTCACCACTCTTATCTTCCAAACAACTTTTAAACGAGGGAGAATATATTCCTAAATTTTTAATAAAGAAGTAATATTTACAAAGAAACTGAATTGCATTAAGTATTTTATGAACATATACAAGCACTATGTCCTTTAAAGATAATAATATCTATCAGACTTATAAATTGATTTTGACTAAGAACCAAATATAAACTAATTTTTTGAATCATTCCTTCAATTATCTGCTTAATAAGATTTTTTTTATATCAGAATAAAATATTATTAGTACTTATTCTCACGCATATCCATTCCAACATTTATTATGCGTTCGAATGTGATATTAATTTTGAATACTTCGGCAATAAATTTGAATTATCCGAATCAATAATCGTATATTAAGCGCTCAAGATGATAAATATCATCTATATATACAAATCATTAACTTCACAACGACTCCATTGGTATAAATTCATGATCCCAATTTTCATTCCCATTGCCTTATACCTCTCGTATATCATACAATTAGGGAAATTGTAATAGATTATTAGAATCATTTTTATTTACTTTGGAATAATTTTAGTTGAATTTATCAAATAAATATGAATGTATCAAATCGAATGAGTTATTTTTATCGTTAATACATGATTAAAAAATCTTGAATCTCAAAATACCTTGAGACTTTATTTTGAACTCTTGGTCGTGAAATTAATGATTCTGTAGCGGTCGAAAAAATATGGTTTGTATTAAATATGGTTTACACTACTTGAATGAATATTCTTACGAGCCAAAACTTTTGATGATTAGTAGATTGTTTTATATATAATAATGAACAACATATAATTATATCAATCGCCATTCAAAATAATTGCACATCTAAATATTCCGAGTCGAGAAATTACCCGTTTCGAGCGCATCTAAGTATATAACAATTAGAGTCACAGTTCATATATTTAAAATTTTATTTTTTGAGCATCTTTGTGATCTGACAAATAATATGGTAAAACATTCTTTTTATTATTGAATTTATTTTGATTTAAAAAATCACTTTCGATTTATTGCTATGGCGAGTTAATAAACGAATAAATTAAAGGGGTTGAATTTAATATTGTATTGGTTTATTGTTTATTTTATTTATAATTACAATTTAATAAGGCAGTGTTGTTCTTCTTTTAAATTATTTAATGTTTTATAAGAATCAAATTCAATATATGCTTTTGATAAATTACATTAAATGTATCTATTCTGATACGAGTTCTTAGTTTGCAAATGATCTTATTGCTTTATTTAATTTACACTTTTATTTTTGCTATCATAAAGGAAATTGCTCAAATTGATGTCTACAAAAAAGTAGAGCCAAGTACTATCAGAAGATATCTATGAATTTACATTTTAGTTTTTTTATATGTGTATCTACACAATAATGAAAACATAAAAAAATGTAGAAAACAAGGGAAATATTTTACATCAATAAAAACCTTATTACTCTTTGATTCTAAATAATTTTTACTCTTTTCTTCAGGATGATTGCCAACTGCATTTAAGATGTGGGGGTATATTCAAATCTTTTTATTTGAATCTAATTATCAAACTAAATATTCTAATTACTTACTCACTTCTACTTACTATTGCTTACTTCTAATTACTTGAGTTACTTGTTCACAAACTTAATTAACGCAATTACTATTTTCTTGTGAAAAGTAAGATTAGGGAATAAAGTTTAAATTAATAGATAATAAAGATAACTTACTTGTAAGGTCCAGGTTCCAGTTGTTTCAATTAGAAACGATTGAAACCTTTCGTCAGCTATGAATGTGTACCTGTCCACAGTCAGGATATGGGCGTCTCTGCGTCGAATCCATGATACTGACTTATTGTTACCTGAAAAGAAATTCACTATAACAAAATATTTCTCTTTCTTATATATATATATATATATATAATATATATATATAATGGGTAGTACTGCCTTAGCCCGTAATTTCCCATTTTATTTCACACCGTAGTACCCAAAATACGCTATTTTCTATTGGAAAAATCTAAATTTTCAAGTCAAAATAGATATCGCTGCTGCACGATATTAGGTTGCCACAGCGGAGGTTGAACACGCGACCCCGTCTATACGAGACATATATATTCTGTACTTATAATATGCTTATATAATATATATTTAGAAAT